GCCCTTGTACCACCCGAAAAAGCTCCGCCGGACGGCATTGTGAGGAGGCAATGGAAGTGGAGAAGAATATTAACAGCAGAATAATACAAAATCAAACAAAGTTATTTGATACAATAATATTCATAATGTTAAATAATGAAATGCAACAAACCCCACCCACTCAAGCCCCCATACTGGCTGAGAAAATGGACTGTGTCTCCCCTCCTCAGCCTCGTTGGCTGAGGAAGAGATGGGCAATTGACAGCAAGAGCACAGCTAGCCCTGCACTGGCCCTGGAGAGCAAGATTCACTGTTGCGCGTGTGCACAATGGCGACTTTTTCCTGGACTCGCAGGAAATGCCAGCGTGGCATTGGTTGAAAATCACTGATCTAGAATTTTGTACTAGTAAATTCTTTGTGCTGGGTATACAACAGCATGGATTTTTGGATGCTTTCAGAACCTGTTCCAAAGGGTGCTTTTCTGTGTGGCTCTGAGAATATCCTAGTGTATTTTAATTATTATTGTGATTATTATTATGGCTGTGTGGAGTCTACTTTCCTACTCATACTCTTAGAATCACTTGATGCTCTGTGGAGTGGGAGTTGTTGCTAGAACATGACACTGTGGATCCAAAGCAGGGGTTCTTTTATGTGGCTGTGCTATTGCTCCCCCTGCCCCGCCCCCCACAGCATGTTTTATGCCTCTGTAGTATGGAGTGCTGTATTCAAAGACGGCTCGGACTTTGCTGACTCCTTGGCTCTGTCTCTGTTGACCTGCTCTCAACCCCACCATTCAGACTGGCCTCTGGCTTCTGCTGGTCTTGGGCAATGGAACTTACAAGCTCAGTTACCTAGTTTGGACAAATGCAATGGTGCTACCATTGCAAAGGGGTACACAGATATCAAATTCTCCCCTTCTTCCCTTGCAGCATCTAGTGAAACTCACCATGCAACTAGTTTTTACAGCTCTTCTTCACATTATTGGTGGCCACTCTTAGGACTGACAAATGTTTGGGTGTGACAGTGTCATATGCCATATAATGCGTTTCACAAGCAGTTAGACAGGGAAGCAACCAGACTAAATGATACTGTTCTCAACAGCATCCTTGTTTTCCAAATAATATTTAATTCTACCATAGTAGGGCCAACTTCAGTAACACAAAAAGCACTCTTCATTTTTCTTGATTGTACTGAAAAATCCCATAATGAAGAACTGGCAAGAATAATCACAGATAAAGTCCAGTGCAAACTGTAACACAATTTAAAGTGTCACTATGACTTAGGAGCAGGTAGTTTTTCTCCAAGGGGAAATAGCAGTCTTGCAATCAGAATGCCTAATACTTATTACATTTGTACTCCAACAGGGAGGCCACTGAATAAACAGCCTCCAGCAGAAAAGAGTATAAAACAGCTTTTTCCAACCTGCAAATGTGTGGTACTACAACTTCAATAACCCTCATAGTGGAGAGATACATGTTTAAATGTGCATGCTATGCTAGTAAAATAAATGTCATAATTTCCAAAGATATTTTACTATTCTGTCACTTGATAATATGGCATTGTATAATTAAGTATACTTGCTTGTAGTAACCTTGAAAAACAATATAGCCAATAGGGATTGACAGGTAACTGTTTTCAGTAGTATTTCCTTAAAAAAATTCTGACATTTCTGCCTGAAATTCTTCTGAGCTAAAATGTGTAATGTCATCATCAAACCCCCTCATACTAATGAAGAACCTGTCAAACCCAAGCAGCAGCAATTGTATGTACCTCTAATTGGTTTGAC